AAATTACAATCCAGAAAATGCGCCACTATGGGTGACTGCTCCCACAAAAAGGTGGATATACATAACTATGGTATGGGGGACGGAAAAGCGAGAAAAAAGGGAAAACAGTCTTTGAGGCGATCGGCCAACCGGCCAAGCGTTTTCCACATGGCCGCACAGAAAATTAGCAAACTAGATCAGTCTAAGAAAAGCTATATATAGCGTATACATGTAGCTATCGGTCTTAAAGATTTTCAATACGAGAAGCCCAAATGTAAATGCATCAAGGAAAAGCCGCTGCTCTGGAGCATTGGAAACCGGCGACCGGGGAAAAGTTGAAAGTAAAAGGAAAGACGAAAGGCGACTTTCCCAAATCGGCAGCAAAGGCTACTCTAGACTGGTCTGCACTCTGCTTTTTTTCCCCCAGAGGTTTTTCCTGCTTTTGCGTGGGTGTGTCTTTGTCGGCGGATCCAAAAGCGCACTGGGGATTAGCATATATTAGCGCCCCCGGCAAATGCAAGTTGGGGGTTTTAAGCCACGAAGGGGGAGAAAAACCCCAAAGAGATCGGTTCAAAAGGCAAATGGCAAAAGGGCGGAGATTTCCACGAAACGAAGAATGTTTACTCTAAATACAACTTCAATTATTTAAAAACGTTATAAAACATCTTATAACATTAATAAAACACAACAGATATTAATCTTTATCATATTTCAAAATGCTAATTTAAATGCTACTTTTTTACAACTTAGACAAATATTTAGTAAGTTTATTGTTCATGATCCTTGGGATGCTATTTTAAAGTATTTATTACATTTGAAAAGATTTTAAACCATCACTAAATTTATTTTAATCGAATTACTTTTTTAGTTTACCACTTTAGCCTTTTATAAAGTTGCGAAAAATATGTCATATGCCAACATACATTCCTAAGAGCCTTACATTTTTTAGGGTAAGCCGAAGAAGGCTAATGCATTGCCACTTTTGGTTTGGGTCCAAGTTTGAGGTAGCTGGAAGTCAACATCCAGTGGGTGGTGGGTGGTGGTTTCAGCCTGGTGAGTGAGTGGTTTCTTTTTGCTGCCTTTAAAGCCGATTTCATTGTTCGGTTAGCAGCGGCTTATAAATTTAAGTCGGGCGAAGCCCAAAGCTGGGGCATAAATTAAGACTCGGATATTGTTTCAATAGTTGACTTTGTCTAATCTCGAAGTCTGCAATCTGGAGATCAAAAGCGGTGCATTGGGGAAGGGGGCAAAGGGGCAGGAGCGGTCGCTTTGACTTTCAATATTCCTCGTGTTTTGTCGCATGCCCAAAAGCCTTTCAATTAAACGAGCCGCACGTTTTTTTTCTGGTTAAAAAAAATGCATTTTAACGCCAAAGTTCGACAGCGACAAAAAAAAACCGCAACAGTATAAACTATAAACCACTGTAACGTTGAGCATTTTTATAAATTGGAAATACAGTTGAATTTTGGTTGTAAATCAAATTTTCAGTGAAACGGTGTATTGAAGGAACATTAAATTAAACTAGATGAATGTTAAAAATTTATATGTTATATTGGTAGATATATTACAAATATATGTAAATATTATTTTTTATATTTTGTGTAGCCAGAATGAACTACCAATCATCAAAACCATTTATTGAATAATTGTTTTTTTTATTTCTCTTCTTTTCCTTCAATTTCCCTCATAAGAGCCAGACTTTTCTTTAATTGCGAGTCTCCACTGTATGTGGTAAGCATATTTTGTTACATTTTGAGGCCAACATGGGTTGGGGCACAGACAACAAAACCGAACCGATCCAAACTGGCTGCTGTTTTGTTTTTCTGGGCCTGACTCATGATGCATATGCCGCATATTGATACAGTTTTCTGTTATTTTTCTGCACCACAGAAATCGGAAAAAAAAAATAATACATACGGCCGGATAAATGATGTATGAAGTTGGGTAGGGCTGAGACTGGAAGTGAAAAATGCTGTTGTCATTGCACAAAGACCCCGTCTATTCATAGCCATTGAACTGGACACAGCTTTTCCTCAGAATTTCCTGCTGCAACGTCAAGTGAAAAGCGGAAAAGACGCTTGAGATTAAAACGGCAATGATTTAAATGCTTAAATCAGTTTTAATTAATTATTCCGTGGCGTTCAATTCGTTCTTGCCAACGAAAGTGGAAAGTGGACGCGAAAGGAAAAGAGATAACAAGTCAAGGCTTACAGTGCACTCGCTTCCTTTCACAAAGTCGAAAAAATAAACGAAAACTGTTTGGAAAATGGAAAAACCAAAAATGGCCACAACCTGACGCTCAGAAACACGATTTAAGTTAATTAAGTTGCAACTCCTTTAACGCCTACACTCTCTTTTCTACATCATTATTTCACCTTCACTACAAGTTCACCTTCGCCTCCAGAAAGCACACAAAAACTATAGATCCTCTGTGTTATCAATCCGTGATAAGTGCTACCCACAATTGCAAACATTAAGCGATCGTTTGCCAAAATAATTACACACTGTCAGCCACAAATCACAAGCCGCGTTCGAAGGTCTTTTAAAGATAAGTGTACATTGGGTATTATAAAAACACACTTATGGTAACATAATTGAATGTTTACTTTTTATGGAGATCGAGAGATGAAAACGATTGAAGAGGGAGGTAAATGATGGGTTATAAATGGTAAAAATAGGATGCAGAACTTGAAGTGAAAGAATCGTGATTTAAATTGTATGGTTTTTAAAAAGTTTAAGTACCTTCAATTGTATAGAAGTTAAATAAGAAAAAGTAATGATTTATAAATCTAATTTAATTTAAATTAATTGCCTATGTTTCGGAATTAATAAACTTAAGTTGAGAACATGAAGTGTTTACATTTAATTATCTTCATCAAACAAAGATTTCCCACAATGACATATCAATCAAAAAGTAAACCCCGCTAATTGTGATCCGCTTAGCCGGTTTTAGCCAGGAAAACACCAGCCAACAATGTAAGCAATTTCCAAGCAAACATTTAATCTTTCTTTCATCCAAAGCTGACAAATCAATTCCCCCAGCAAATTAAATAAGAATGATTAAACACTGGCTCGCGAGAGCAGTTTTCACTTTGTGTTCGAATGCCTTAAAAAGAGAATCGTTTAGGCCATATTTAGAAGAGAAGAAAAGCCGTCGCCGACTAAGAAAGTCTGCAGATTTATACCGACTTGATAAATGCTTACAAATCGCCAAACGACACTTTACTTTCTGTGCAGTTAGAAAGTCGTGTTTGCGACTAATAGCGAAATATGATAAACGACAAGACAGACTTGATGAACACTTTCCCAGCGAACTGGGAGGCTGGTCATTAGAAGAAAACACCGCCGACAAGACTGGCAAAACGACTTTGCATTGGTTTTGTTTTTTAGCCGAGAGAAAAGTAGAACAAAAAAGAGGAAAATCGAGACGAGTTGAGGCCGCTTTTCTGCGGGCAAACGGGACGAGGAAAAGTGGCTGCACATTTTGCTTTCAATTTGCCAAGTAGCCAGCGCAGATAACATGGCGTATGAGCAATGTTCAAGAGTAGGGCGGGTGGAAAATCGAGGGGAAAGAGGGGAAAGGGGGAAGGGGATGAATCTTATGGGCCAAAACAATTACGACTGCAAATGAAGTTGCTGGCTTTTGTGGTCTGCGGGTGGTGGGCGTGGCTCTGGGGGCAATTATGACCAGCAGTCGTGTAGAAAGAGGGGAAAAGCATCCATCTGCATACATGGAAAATGCAGGAAAAACTCAACTCCTCCTCACGAGCCAATGTTTTCTGCTCCAAAAAGCTCAAAGCGGCTGTGAAAATGATTTTTCCCAGTTTTCATCTCGTCTCTAAAATTGCAAAACAAAATAAAAAATGATTTTAACTGCAACATTATGAAAACGAAAGGCACGCAGATATCAAAAGGAAAATGCAAATTGCGTGCAAAAATGCTGTTTGATTATCCCCTAATGTGACCTTGAACTTTGGCACCTGCTAAGGGTAGAAATGGAAAAAACAGACATCAAACTTGTTAAATCAGAATGCCCCCTCCAGCTTTGAAGCTGATTAATTATTGCGCATTACGCAAGTCGAACGTTGTAAACTTTTCAGCCTTTTCCGTTGTAGTTCCTCGCCGAGGGAAAAACAAATTAGAAAATTGTTTGCCGCAAATTGCGCTGCGCTGACATTTGCAAAAGTTTTGCTGCGTTTTTTTGCCAAACAAAAAAAGTTGCCTTGCACGCGGTCGAAAAATGAAAAACCAACTTGGATAATAATTAAGATGTTGAACCAATAAAGGGCAACAGGGTATGGGCGGAAAACTATATAATTAAAGCATAAATAATTTGTAAATAATAAATAAGTTTTAAAGTTATAATTGAAGAGCTTACTGAAGGTTTATTCGTAACAGTAACAATGGCAGTGAAATGCTTTATACAGAGCACTAAACATTTTGTTACATTTTGAATTTTAATTTAAATAAACAACGCATTGAACGAATCATTCGAATCATACTGATAAATAGCTTAAATTCCAAAAATCTTTCTTGCTTTTCCCTCCCATTCAACACACAAAAGTCCCCCGAAAGCCAAAAACTTACATTGAAATGTCAAGTGCTGAAGTCCCCTTAACTAAAGCTCCGCTTCACTCCCAAAACACTGAACTTTTATTGCCCCACAAAGGGGACATTTGCATCAAAAATAAATGAACGCGTGGAAAATGCATGACATAGAGCAAAAAAAAAAGGGGCGTAAAAACTGAGTAGCATAATTAATGGAAAACAAGCGGCTGCTGCACTCGTGGATCCATTCATGAACAATATGGAGTAATTTATGATGGGGTCGTCAGTTTTTTTTTAGCGCTTTGTTCGAGGGTAAACCATTTTTTTCTTCATTTTTTTTAAATAAATATTTTGTGCTGTCTTTTTTTTTGCAATATATTGTAGTGTTTTTTTCTTTCAATTTTTTGTTGCCTGACTTTCTTGTTTGCCATTTTTTGTTGTCTGATTTTTGTTTGCTTATGTTTTGAACTCACTTTTTCGCTGCGCTCGTAATTCGCTGGGAACTTGGGCGAGCCGAAGACCGATGATGGCGATGGGGTTAACGGCGACGCCAGCGGCGACTGCGACTGCGACTGCAGCGCCATTCGCTGGTGATGCAGCGTGGAAAGCGTCGGCGTCGACGCCGACAGCGACGCCGGGGTCATGATTAAATGCCGCATTATTTTACCCGATTTTCCACTAATTTTTCTCACTTCTCCACCCGCTTTTCACTGGCTATTGTGCTGGTGTTTTTTTTTCGGCTTTTGTTTACTTGGTTGTTTTTACGTTGCACTCGGCGGCGATTTACATTTCAACAATTACATTGTTTTTGCCGTTTGTTTTGGTCAGCTTTTCGTTACGATTCGCTTTTTTATTGGCTTTATTTTTATTTTCCCCCGTCTCACTTTATTTCACTGTAAATGTCAATTGCCGTTGTGGGGTATAACATTTTGCTAAAAACAACAGAAATTTAATAAGCTTAATTCAACAGCTGCCGCGGATGTTGACAGAACGGAACAGTCATCATCGCCAAATGGGTTACGTTCTGAATACCAGAAATAAAAGTACTCTTTCACTCTGCCCAATTCACTCTCTAATGTGTCGCTCTCTATTTTGTGGTCAGTTTTCTAATTACAGTTCTTTTAATAAATATACATTATGCTTTAAATTACAGGGCAGAAATATTTGGTATCATATAAAAATCAAAGAAAAATGATAAAAATATTTTCGTAAACGAAATGTTCATCTAATCTATAATTGACAATAAGTTTTTCCCTTTACTTTGCTTTCGACTTCCTAATTGTTTATAACATTTTTCGCTACCGCTTAGCAAACGAATTGCGATTTCGAACCTCTTCCCCTTTTCTCCTTATCTGACCACTTTAATTGCCTTTATTTTTATCACCTTGGCTTCTCACAAATTTGCGTTTCCCCTTTTTGCTTCTCGCTTATCACCTTTTTTTCCTGCTATTTCAATTCCGACCCTTGTTATTTTTATTCTTATTGTTGCTAGTTAACTAGCATTATTCGTAGGAATTATTATTATCATTTAAAAATAAGAACGTTGTAGTTGTGTGAAACTTTTACAATTTAGCTTTTCCCAAATTATTCGGAAATTCAATTCATTTTCAGGCAATTGCAAATCTCAAAATGTTCAATTTCAGTTTCGATTTCGTTCTTTTTTATCTCATTTTTGTTTATTTTTCAGCTGTCAAGCATATCAGACTTTTGATAAGCACTTTGCAAAAGCAGACTACGATAAATTGCGTATACGACACCGGGACACCAAGAAAAACTGAAAGTGCTTCCAATTATATTACACTTTGACTTTGTTCCATGAGTTTATACAAAACAAAATTTTAAAATTAAAAAAAATTTAAAACCTTAAAAAGAAGATGACTTTTAAAAGGCGTTCTGTTTCTTCCACAACTTATTCTAATTTGCATATGGCAGTGATCTAATCACTTAATTAAATTAACCGCAAGAATCTCAAAACTGACAATTGGCTTGATTGCATTTTTTGTGTGGTTTTTCTTGGCTCTTTTACAGATTATATAACGTCATTTCGATCATTAAAACTTGATGACGCTGGGCTAATTATTTTTTTGTGTTTATTTCTTTTTGTTGTTGCTTGCAGTCGACGTCGCAGCCGGCGTCTCTGTCGACCGAATTACACGCACCGAAAATGTACAAAAGAGACAAAAGCAACAACTAACAACATTCGAAGGTCATTTCGCAGTTTTTGGGCAAATTAGAAACATGAAAAGCACACTAAAAACTGAGTTTAACACGATTTAAGCGGGTCAAATGCAATTTGTTCGCCTGCCAAAATATTACTTTTATTCTACGATTCGGCTTGTTATGTTGTTTTTTTCCGTTGATTAACTTTTCATAATTTTCCGAATTGCACAAACAAATTGCATGCGAAACAATTGCAAATACCAATACAAATGCAGCCAGGCGAGACGCGAAGAAAAGCGCGAGGAAAACGGAAAACCAGAGAGCACGCAGGAAAATCGCGGCGTTCCAATTGGAATACGAATTGTAACTGAAAGGCGGCGACCAAAGCAAATGAAGCTAAAGCAGCGCAAAGGCAAAGTCGTTGGCGCAGTTGGAGCAAAGCTCAAAGAGAGGAGAACGGAGAGAGAGAGCGCGCAAGTAAAAGCAACTAACGGGTTAAAAGCAGCCCCAACAGCTGATTAACAATAACAAAAAACCGCAAGGGATATCCCCACTCTCTCCTAAAAATTAAATAAGCACAAAATCAACTGATGTTTTCAGAAACAATTTTTTTTATTTACATTTGAAACATAAGTTACATTTATTTTGGTCAGAAATGTACTTATTCAGAATCCCTAAATAGCAATATTTTTTTATTTAAATATACGCAGATATTAAGATATTTTTATTAAGTTTCCAATTTTACAAAATATCGAAAATTTTGATTTCCTAGAGGGGAAAAGGCAATGAATTCAATCCTGAAATTCTGGTGGCTAAAACAAAAATCAATTTTTCCGATCATTTTTTTTTTCAAAATGCAAATTGCAGTGTAGATTTTGTTTTGTTTTTGCATCCGAAGAGGTCACCAATTGGAAAGCTTTTGCAGAGCAAGTAAGGCTTTCTCTTCCTCTCTTTGTGTCTATTGTTTCTTTTTTGCTGATCTCTTCATCTCTGCCTCTCTTTCAGACTCATAATTGCATTCGATTTGGTTTATTATTTAATATCATTTTTTGTGGGTGGGTGGTGTTTGGTGGTCGGGTGGTTTGTCTGTCTGTCTGCTGCGTGCATTGAACTTGACATTAAACAATGCAATTGTTTTGTTTTACTAATTGCGTGAAATTCGAGCGGTCTTTAATTGTGGGTTAGCTTTGTGGAACCTGAGTTGGGAAGTGTGTGGTGGGATGGTTAATGAACTTATTTACTCGGTGGGTGGTGTGGGGTGGAATGTGGGTCGATGGAGAGACAATCGCTGGAGATGATTGATGAGGATTTTTTTGTGATGATGCTAATTAGCTGGGTGTAACTAAGAGTGAATGATACGAGTCATTGAGACGTTTACAAATTGCAATTTTAATTATACGTACTTTATATTAGTAGTATTTATAATTTTTTAAACCATTATTTTGGGTTTTAATATATTTTAGTGGATGCAAAATTAAATAACATTTTGTAACAGAAATAATGCCAAATTAAATATGTAAATATGATAAACTCAATACATTAAATCATCAATGGCATGCCTCAATACATTTTACAACTTTCTCAACCATCTATTTTCAATTAAAACCCCCAAACAAAAATAAAATCTAACAAAAACCAACGCCAACTCATGACCACTCAGCATTTCAAAAGGAAAAATACTTTTTGTGGAATGCCAGCAAATTAATCAAATCGCAGACAGATGAAAAAAAAATAAATTATAACAATCGGGAAAAATATATAAAAATAAATGACACAACCAATTCGTATTGCATTAGTGGGCGAAGTTCGAATGAATGCAGCGAAACTTTCCATTTTCCTCTGCAGGCCAAGAAGATAAACAAAAACCGTTTGGAAAACTGGATCACATGCACTGCAGGCGGTCGCTCATTTAAGCGGGATCCGACAGTGACAAACTTGCCAACTAAACCACCTTTGAGGCGTCCAATCTTCACAAACGAAGATCGAGTCGTTGAAAGGAATTGAATATGCCTGATTGAATGCATATTATGTAAACAAGTCTTCACAAATAATATTTATTTTGTTTATAAATTTTTTTCATTTAAAAATTTTAAACGAAGACTCAAGAAATAAGATATTTTTAAATGTTGGACAAATATTATAATGTTTCGTATTATATTATTGCTGTAAGGCGGATATATGTTTTATATCACTGGTAAATGCTTATTTACGTAAGGAGTTCATATACCAAATATGGTGGCGGGACCCACAATAGATCCCGAGATTTAGGGTTCTGTATATTGAACAAACTCTTCATCAACATAAATAATTGTACTCACCCTATCCATTAATTGCTCATCGTTGCGTTTGCGCCTCGCCGGCGCTCTTATAATGCGTCCCACATCTGGAGCGTCCATGATTATCTTTCCAGTGGGGTTTCGAACCAGCGCAAATCACTTATACGCGAGCGCTGGACGGTTGGTGAATCCGTTAAGTGCAGCTTTGAGCATTTAATTTTGCTCAGAAATCGCTTCGAGCGCAACTCAAAGCTTTCCTTTCCGCGGAGCTCACAAAATCCACTGCATACTTTGGGGCTGGCTGCATTTGGTTTTAAAATTTGGCAGTTTTATTTGAAAATATTTTTATACTCTTTTGATATTTTTATATGGCAAGTCGGGAATTTTAGTTACTTTTTTGTTGGAAGCAATGGTTGCAATTGGCTCTTGTTTCAGCAGGCAGCAAGCTGTAAAGATAATGCAAAACATTTGAGTTAATTAAATATTATCACAACTTCGTAAAAAGATAGAGACATAATAATGAAAGACCAGTTACTTAACATTTAACAGATTTTTTATTAAACCCAGTTACGGAAAAAACTGACCATTTAATTTCAACTTAAAGAAATTTATTAAAACTTTGTCTCACTTAAGCCAAGTTCTATAGGAAATTGAAAAATGCATTAGAAGGACTCTTTCACTTTTTCCTCGTTTACCTTAAGCACACTTTTTCCCTCTATTGGTGCTTGGCCAATTTCCTTGGCCTTTTTTTTCATAGAACCAAAGTTTACCCCCACGATTTTACTTTTTTCAGTTTTCCGCTGAATAAAATATGATTGAGGTTCAAGGCGACTGAAGCTTTCAACTGCAACAATGTCAATTTGCTGCCTGAAGAGCTGCGGCTGTTTGTCTCGAGGCAAACTATTCCCGAGCTGTTAAATTGATTTCGACGGTGTGGAGGGCAGCTGCTTATAAAATAGTCAAGAGTTAAGAGGAAAAGCGGAAGGAAACCCAGAGCCACCTAATCAATTTGTCGAGTGGAAAGTGGCTAAAAGATTGCTGACTAAGTTGGTAAGATGAATACAGGTTTTTATGGGAAAATGTGTTGGGTAATGTGTTTAGGATGGTAAATGTGTTGGCTAACAGATAAGTTTATAAATCAATCGCAGTGTTGGTTAACATATAAGGTTATAAATCAATCGCAGTACTATTTTAAAAGATGAATACTTAGTAGTCTTCGCAAAAAAATAAACAAATTTATAAACCACACAATAAAGAAAATATTACATTTAATTGTTTAATTAGCTAATTGATCAATTAGGTGACCTATTTAACGCTTCCACGCCCTATTAACTTCTGCTACGATTAAACACAATCACAAAGTCAGACACAAATCAGAGCAGCAATTAGATAATCTTCAAATCAATTGAATCAACATTGGGGCTCGACAGATTCGAAAAGTTCGTCACTTCCCACTGTTGACAAATCATTTAAAATGCAGTCGGCTAGAGGGGAAGTTCTGTTCTCCCAAAACGGTTGACGATTGTCATCCAATAATGGCCATGTGACGTCTGTATATCCAATGAATCACAAATCATTCGCAATTCTCACTTATTTATACACTCCCACCCAAATTGATAAGAGATGTCGACGTGCAATTTCAAATGATTTCATTAGGTCCAAGGTAAGTTTATCTTAGGCTTGCGATAAATGTTAGTGGGTCGATTGTGGTTGTGGTTTTGCTTATATAAGTATATAGGCGGCACTTGGGCAAGTTAATTAAACAACAAGGAAATACTTGTAATTAATGCGCAAAAAGGTAGCAACAACAAAACAATGACTAAGTGATTACAGATACAAAGCGGGCTACAAAGAAAAAAAAAACGTAGAAGACGGTGGCGAACCCTCAAAACCTCTGCTTGAATGAATCCAAAAAAGTGTGGCGGAAAAGCGTGGAAAAACAGCGGGAAAAACGGCAGACAAAAGAAGATACCCTCATTCATGAAGTTGAACAATTTTCTTCTTCGTTTTTCCTCTATTTTTGGTGTGATGCCGATTGCTGCATTTGCCTTTGCATAATTTGTTGAAAGATGCCAAAGCAGGTGACCAAAAGTTGCGAAAATTCTTTAATTTGCCAACCAAGTTTTCTTTGGCTGGAAAAACTAGAGAGCTAACGATAAAAGTTTCGGCAATTTAACGTTGAGTAGAAAATGGTCCATTGATTAAAGTTTCCAAACGGGATAAATGAATTTAAAATAAAAGACTTTACCTTAAAGGAGGTAAAACTAAAGACTTCGGTCTTCTTAAATTATAAACAAACTATTGATAACAAGTCGCTTAACTATATAACCCATAAATATAAACCTATTTAACTCATTTAAAACAACTTTAATTTCACCTGCTTTAAAAACAGTAGCACACGCCATTAACAAATCACATTATTAAAGCAATCAGCACTAAATTGACAATATTATCATTTTGTTAACTTGTTTAATTGCCCGAGTCAGGTTCGACGAAAGCGAAAAAAGCGGTCTATAAATAAGTGTTAACATATTGACAATAAACGTGTAGTTTATCAACAGACACGAGCTACAACAAATGAAATGTAAGGGGACCTGTAATGCCCACGTATGTGGCAGTTTCTACCTTTTCCCGATATCTTTTCCCGTTGGATCCTCTTGACAAGTGGAAATGCGGGGAAAAGGGTAATCTGCAATTAAGTCAGCTCCAATTCCGCGGAACTTTTCAGTAGATCTCGCCCACTTTTTACCCGAAGCAATTAAATTATGTATTATCTTTGGATTGGCTTTCGGTTCAAGTCAAGTTGTAAATCGATTAGGGGACTGCCCCTACTCTCCTTTTCTTCTTTTTTCTATTGTATACAGTGACCGTCATAAATAAATGCAGTTGACGGCAGTTTTGAGTGATTTATGCGACAGTTTCCCAGGCAATTGGATTTTTTTATGATTTTTATTTTCTATTTTTCTATTGATTAGATTGACTAGCGAATCTCACATATTGGGCGGATTTTTATCTTTGACCATCGTGCCTTCTACAATTTTTTTTTGCAGTTATTATTGTCAGAGCGTTGAGAACAAGTTTTATTTTATCTTTTTGCTGTCGGCTGCTGGCTTTTTTTCTCGCTTCTTGTGAGTCAATTGACCCAAATTGTTGGGCTCCGGCCTTTGTGTCTGAATCGACTTGGGCAGCCTCTCTTGTTGTAGCAGACGTGTCGTTTTTGCTGTTCTCAGATTGGCCCCAAAATACCCTGCAATTCCAGGGGATAAAGAAAATCAGAAAGATCTTT